AATGCCTCGTCTCTCGATCCAAACTACAGAGCCGATCGAAAAAACAACATAACATGCCCATGATCTTATCTTGCAGCAAGGAGAACAGGGCTGAAGTTCCTCTTGGCTGAGGGTTGCGGTAAGAACTGGCAGCATACTAGCGGCTGGAATCGTCACAGCTTTGGGACTTTGACTTTCCGAAGCTACGGGTTCAAAGACAAGGAACAGTGCCATACCAACGGCCGGCTGGACCCCAGGTTTTACCTACTCAACCTTATGCACCCGACCAGCCAGGCCCATGTTTGCATCCGCCCGGAATCTCGCACGCTGAGCAACAGGTGCACTAGAGGGCTCAGAAGAACTTCAGAGTATCACGAGCACTACCTATAGTCTCCATTGTAGTTCCTTTTTCTGGTTTAACCAAATATATAATTAGGATCCTATAAGGTAACCCCAAAAAGGAACTACAATGGAGACTATAGGTAAGTACGGCGTCGCTAGGTCGCGTACACAAACCTGCGCCACCAGGCCGCAACACTGCAGCCAGAAACCCTAAGCCAGCTTCTGCCAAACCCGGAGTTGCATGATTTATGGGAGTTTCCGTGAATTAAGGGGTGCCTCATGTTGGGGTCGTTCTAACGAGGATCCTGCTAGTTAGGGTACTATATTAGGGTCTCCCATTTTCGGAAACTCCCATGTCGGTATCTGAGGACAAGGCCCATCTTCGGGAAAGGGCCTCCTCCTGCGCGGCTGGCGGCTTAGGGTTAAACCCTTCGTTGTTTAGACCTTTTGTTGCGGGCCCTCTTCAACTGCAAGAAAGTGATGCCGAAGAGTTTTTGGGTTTAGAAGCTCGGGCTTAGGATGCGTATAGGACCTCCGTATCTACTTGACATGAGGCTGTTGGTAAAGCCCATCTAGCTCAAGAACCATGTGGTCGTTGTCTGCAAAGCTGAACCCTGCGAACTTTCGCGCTGTCCCCGCCCCCGCGCTCGACTCCCCTTTGTCGGTTGAAGTAACAGGTGTACCTCTGGCGGCATCAGCTTTCGCATAGAAACTGCCCTCAGCCTCAACAACACACAACAACACCTATCGGGCTTCCGGGACGATGTGGGCCGAGCCCGAGACTCTAAACCCTGCCGTTAAAGCATGGCTTTTCTCTGTATGGAGCCCTATAGACTTTAGAGACATTCTACAGTAGGATTTCAGATTTTAGGACCTAAATACCTGAAAGACAGGGCTCTTTCATCCCGGTGTTCGTTATCAGATTGCTGAGTCTATTATAACTCTTCCACAACATGTCGCAAGATTCTATTCCAACTGCTACGGGCTGCTAGGATTGCTATAGCTACACACATGTAGGGTCTACGGCTTTCGGGTTTCAGGGTTTAGGCGCAGATTTATGGGGGGTTGCTGTCCATGGATTCTGCCGCGCTCTCCTGCTGGAGAAGCCGGATAGCTTCCGACACTTCCGAGTAGTTGAGCAATGGCCTCAGGCGGTCAGTATCGTGCCAATCCTTTCGGGCACCTGGGCCCCTGAACTGAGACAGACCCTTTATTAACTCAGAATTAAAGTATGTGGTTTTGCGGCTTTTGTATAGTAAGTTTGTGCTAAATTTTGAGGAAGCGTAAAGCATCGTTCTGTATTAGCCGCATAGAAAGAAGCAACGGCCTCTGCTCCATAGACGGTCTGCCACCTCCCTGGCAGCTTGAGCGTGAACACTTAAAGCTTCGTCGGTTTATCCTTAGCAGATAGGCCGCATGAACAAACACCTTCTGTCGAAAATCGGTGTTCGGCAAGTCGTGGAACCTGGAACCAACCTACCGTGAATCTGGGCATTCTTGAGCACCGGACTCGCCCATGCCCATGAACACCACACTATGCCTGCGGATGTGATTGCACCATGGGGGGTCGATACTGGATCCCTGTCGTCGGCTCATGCGCGAAGAAAGGGTCTAACACGTATATATTATGAGATCACATGCATCTACCTTGATGTGCTGTTGCTGCAAGCCTTGGCATAAGCCGAAAACCTAAACCCTCAGCTTTCTTCGTGGCGGTTCAACCCCGGCCTTCAAAACAAAGACCGACAAAACTCTTCACACCCCATTCTTCCATGAAGACAACTATTGTAGGGGCCTTAAGAAAACAAGTTTTGGTGTACATTATACTATAATGCTTATCGGGAAACCCCCAAATATGTGGTAACTATTAAGGCCTCTACATTGTTATGTGAGCGTCATCCCAGACAGCTGTACATGGACCAGCTTGGGCATCTGCCGACAGGGCTTTGGGTTTTGTGTTTGCAAGGCAACATCGATGCCTGTGATACCTCAAAGTTGGAGAGTGCCAACACTTACACCCTACGCTTATAAGTCCTAAACAACCAAGTCCCAAATGGGCAAACCGCTATTGTGAAGCAGCAGACCTGTAAGATGCCAGCACATATGACTGACACACCTCTCCCAACTTAAATGCTTAAACCTACACCCCGAAGGTACTATTTCATAGGATCCCTTACCGTATCTTCATGACAGTATAGTAACTACTGCTTTAGTACCCCCAACCCCAAACCTTATACCCTAAACCCTAAATCCTACAAACCCTGAATCCCATAAACGCTTAACCCCGTCAACTTCGATTCCAAAACCCAACACCTCAATCGCTTCCGGGGCTGCCGACACGGGAGCCTCCACCACTGAGGCGACCTTCGGCGAAGGTCCGAAGTTAGGGCTTAGGGTTCAGGGTCTATAGGTTAGGGCTTAGGGTTTAGGGTCTATAGAGTGTGGGGACTAAAGTCCTTGTGAACTTATGCCAGAACATACCAGGGCTTAGGGTTCAGGGTCTATAGAGTGTGGGGATTCAAGTCCTTGTGCAATTATGCCAGAACATACCACGAAGTCACCTCTTCTAATTTTTTGCCAATATATATTGGGATCCATCGGTGGATTTGGAGTCTTGGTTTTACAGGGTTTGTATGCTATAGCGCTTTGGGGTTCAGGGATTATCGGATTGAAGAAATTAGGGTTTTGTATATACTCTTCGTAAGGCTTAGGTTGAGAGTTATTCTTGTGTTCTTTGCTATTAGCAACTTCGCAGTCCCGTTTTGGTGAGCTACCTGTACGTGCCTGTAGGGTTTGTTGGACTGTGAGTAAGTAGATAAAGATGTGTTTGCAGGAAGGATTCGCTTGTGACAGGTCAACACTCAGTGAGGGTTCTGGTGTTTGGAAGTGCCAATTGCGCTACACCGAGGTGAGGTCAACCATCCAGCTGCAAAAGCCCTCCAAAAGCTAAATCCATGTTGGCACTTGAACCCAGAAGTCAAAGGCTCTTCGCGCATGCTGCACCGCAAACACGATGCCCAACACAGAACGAGCCTTTGACAAGTCGGTGAATCCAGTCAGAAATAGCAGCCCTCACCAGTGAACTGGCCTGGGTAGCGATGGCCCACGCCGGTAGGTTTGCTGCAGGCTTAACCTCAGCGAAGCGTACCAGACAACACCACCGACAGGCATGACAAGGATGGGCTATAAACCTGCGGGCTATGGTTATAAGGGTTTGGAATTTCCGGAACAGGCACCTCTGGACAACGATCCTAAGGGAAATGTCAATACAGCCCAAATTACCGTCTCTTTATCAGTGTAGATTGCAATCCTTAGCATGGCTGTGCCCACCAAGCAAAAATGTTTCTCTCTGACAGCTCCGGCGGTGGATAGCATAAAGAATACCCAGTAATTGATAATATACAATCGTGCTTGTATTTATGTAAACTAGCTATTGTATGATGTTCCACCATAGGTATCCACTAGACATATAACATTCAGCCAACAAAAGCAGGGGAGCCTTTCGGCTTCAAAAAGCCACGGAACGTACCCACAGCTACGTGGCAACACTGCGAGGAGTGGGGACCGCGGGCAGGTCAAGCCCTAAGTAAAGAACAAATGGCGTGCCCCCGGTGAAACCCCAAGCGCAAGGGCTTGAGGTTTGGCCGACTCTGTGTGCACCTCGGGTTGACAATTGGCTGTTGCCAGCAGTAAGTCTCATTACCATTTCGTACTATTTTCCTTAACACATGCTTCAGATTGAAGCTGATCTTTGAGCACGCCTCAACTACGCCTCATCACTGGGCCAAGACGGGCCTTTTGCTTCCAGTGGGATTCGTGCCACGAGCCAGTGATTTTTCTGGCGCTGAGACAGAGCGACAGTCCAGCATCCTTGCCCTTAGGCACCCGGAATTCTGTGTTGGTGGGGTATTTGTTCATGTATGTGAGTCTGGCCGGTGTTCTTACAGAGTGTAGTGGGTGCAGCAGTCCACAAAGCTCTTGCAAGCAGACTAACGCACCTGCAGACAAAACTATGGACATCCATGCGCCCTTGTAGTCTGCCTTTATACCCGATGCACATCGAATCTGACACCAGGAATGTAATATGTGGAACGGTAAAGTTCATCTTTACGATACAACAGACGCCCTCCTCACCAAACATACGGGCGATGCATCTCTACGCGCTGGAAAGCTGCGCAGCCTTGCATTGCAAGTCAATCCTTTCAATGTGCAGCGACGTTTCATCACAGCTGCAGCTAAAGACAATGAACCCTCATTGCTTGCACCGCTACAATACTTTCGAACTGATATACATAAGACATCCACTGAATGCCATGACATAAATGACCTCCACCACAGGCAAACTACTACTGGTAGAGAATCTCAAAAGGATGCTGGGAGTTGTCCGTACTAACTATTGCACCGCGACCGGTTTTGGCTATTAGCGGTCTGCAGATTAAAGCAATTCGAAAATGGTGGTGGAGCTTTGTCGCATTGCACCACCTGGCTGCCGGCACCACCGCCCCCTTGGCTTCGCCAAGCTCTAGGCTGGTGGTTGACAGTCGAATGTCAAAACGTCCGCATCTGTAAAAGCAAGTTCAACACCTGATATCGTTAGCTGCTTGCACCAGAACGAAATAAGCCATGTAAAATGTCATTTCAGCGATACGCTTGCAGTGGCCATTGCTGAGGATGCGGTC